CCCTCCCCCAATCCCCTCCCCAAATCCCCCCTAACAGCTGTCCCCTGTCTGTGTGTCCGTCCGTCTGTGTCTGTCTCTGTCTGTGTGTCTGTCCCGTCTGTCCATCTCTCTCTGTCCGTCTGTGTCCGTCTGTCCGTGTGTCCGTCTGTCTGTCCGTGTGTCCATGCGTCCGTGTGTCCGTCCGTGTGTTGGTGTGTCCGTCTGTCTGTCCGTGTGTCCGTCGGTGTGTCCGTGTGTCGGTGTGTCCGTGTGTCGGTGTGTTGGTGTGTCCGTGTGTCCGTCCGTGTGTCGGTGTGTCCGTCGGTGTGTCCGTGTGTCCGTCGGTGTGTCTGTGTGTCCGTGTGTTGGTGTGTCCGTGTGTCCGTCCGTGTGTCGGTGTGTCCGTCGGTGTGTCCGTGTGTCCGTCGGTGTGTCCGTGTGTCGGTGTGTCGGTGTGTCGGTCTGTCCACGTGTCTGTCCGTGTGTCCGTGTGTCCGTCGGTGTGTCCGTGTGTCCGTGTGTCCATCCGTGTGTCGGTGTGTCGCAGCTGGGCCGGGTGCTGGAGCGGGACGCGCGCCGGGGCCGGGCCCTGGTGCAGCTGGGCCGGGCGGGGCCCGCGGTGCTGCCGCTGCCCCTGGACAGCATCTGCCACTACCTGGGGGGGGGCGACGACGACTGAGACCCCCGACCCTATTTACATATTCAAACAGAGATGAAAACCTAGCAGGATTTTCTGCTAGCCCTGTGTTTCCTTTTCCTCTGCCATTCTTTTACCCTATTTTGCTGTAAAACTGACAAAGCTCTCAAGCCCTCATCTCAGCCTCAGATTGCCCCCCACAACTCCCCAGAAGCCCCCTAAAGCCCCCCCAAAACCCCCCTGAATCCCCCCACAAGTCCCCTGAAGCTCCCAAAGCACTTTGCCAGCTTCCAACATGTCGGCGGGTGGTTGCTATGGTAACGCGTCAGGCTGCTGCCATTTTTCAACATGGCGCGTTGCCGGGCAACGGCCCCGCCCTCCCGTCTCCGCCAATCAGCGCGAGTGCCTGCTCGGAGCGAGCCCTAATAGGGCGGGGGCTCGGCTCACGTGACCGGAAGTCCGCTCTGGCCGGGCGCTGTGAGGCGTCTCGATGGTCTGAGCGCCCCGCGGGAGCGGCCGCGGGGTTTTGGGGGAATTTTGCGTGATTTTGGGGCTTTGGCGGGTCCCGACGGGTTTTGGGGACCCTTCGTTACCCCCTTTCAGCTACCCCCGAAGCGGATCCGCCGCCGCCGGCGCCCCCCGCCATGGCGCAGGCCCGGGGGGTGAACAGCCTGCGCTTCAACCAGGACCAGAGTGAGTGGGGGCCCGGACCCCGAACCCCAAACCCACGAACCCCAAACCCCCCGAACCCCAAAATTCCCGAGCCCACGAACCCCCGAATGGCTGAATCCCCGAGGCCCCGGAGCCCCGAACCCCCAAACCGCGAACCCCAGACCCTCAAACCCCTGAACCCCCGGACCCCAAAGCCCCGAATACCCCGAACCCACAAACCCACGAACACCCGGACCCCAAACCCCCGAGCCCCCAAACCTCCCTCTGCACCCCCAGCGCCCCCTCAGGGCCTCAAACCCCCCCCGGGACCCCCAAAACACCCCCGGGATCTGGGGGGGTCCCTGGGGGTCTCGGTGGCTTTGGGGGGGCTCTGGGGGGGCTTTTGGGTCATTAGGGGCAGAGGAGGAGCACGGGGGGGGGAAAGTTTGGGGCGTTTTGGGGTCCGCCAGGGCTGGGAGGGGGTGCAGCTCTTTTTGGGGGGCTCCTCAGCCTGGGGGGGTTTGGGGTGTCTGGGCCTGGGGGTGGGGGCGATTTTGAGGGGGGTCCCTAAATTGAGGAGAGGCTCTTGGGGTGTGCTTGGGGAGGGGCAGCTTGGGCAGTTTTGGGGTGCCCGGGCCTGGTGGGGGGGCTCACTTTTGGGGGGCTCTGCTGTTCGAGGGTGGTGATCGATTTTTGGGGGGTGGTCCCTAAATTTGGGGTCCCTGGGGCTGGGGTGTCCCTCGCCTTGGGGGGGATCGCTGGGGTTTGGGGGTGTCCCCACCCTTGGGGGGTGTCCCTGCCCTTGGGGGGTCTCCCCCCACTGTGGGGGTGCCCCGATGTTGGGGTTCCCTGGCGTTGGGGGTCCCGCTGTGGGGATCCCGCTGTGGGGTCCCCGATGTTGGGGTCCCACTGTGGGGGTCCCTGACGTTGGGGTCCCCGCGGGGGTCCCAGACGCCGAGCAGGTGGGCAGCGTGGGGCTCGTGGAGATGCTGCACCGCTCCAACCTGCTGGCCATCGTGGGGGGCGGCAGCCAGCCCAAGTTCCCCGACGCCTCAGGTGCGCCCCCAAAGCGGGGGGACCCCGAGTTCACCGGGACCCAAACCTGGGGGACCCCGAGTTCACCGGGACCCAAACCTGGGGGACCCCGAGTTCACCGAGAGCCCCCCAAACCGGGGGTGCCCGAGCAGGGTCCTTCCCGGAGCCGTTCCAACGTTCAGGTGTCCTCCCTGTCCCCAGGGTTGGGGTGGCCCCTGTCCCCAGTGTGGGGGTGTCCCCAGTATTGGAGTGTTCCCAGGGTCGGGGTGTCCCCCATGTCAGTCTGTCCCCATGTTGGTCTGTCCCCCTGTTAGCCTGTCCCCATGTCAGCGTGTCCCTGTCCCCATGTCTCTCTGTCCCCTGTCAGTCTGTCCTGTCCCCCTGTCGGTGTGTCCCACCTCCGTCTGTCCTGTCCCCCTGTCACTGTCCCCTGTCACTCTGTCCCCTGTCACTCTGTCTCCTGTCCATCAGCCCAAACCCTACCCTTTGTTCCAGAAAGTTCCCTGTCCCTCACCCTGAGATCCAATCCCTATCCCAACCCTCTCTCCTCCCCTTGTTCTGATTTGTTGTAGCCCTCAAAACCCCACCCCAAGACTTGCTCATTGGTTACTCTATGGTGCCTACCCCCTGTTCTGAGAGATTTTAAAAACCCGTGCACAGGGGGGCAGGGGGATTTTTTTGCTTGTGTTCTTCCTTGGCAGTTCTGTGCTGCGTAACCACCCCTTTTCTCTCCTAGTAAATTTGCTGGACTTTACAGTGCATAAGAGCCTCCTCTGCCTCCATCTCTGGGTGCTCGTGGCTCCTCCAGGGGTCTCTACTGCTGGGCGACTGGCTTAGAGATTCTGGCTCAGGCAAAACCCCAGTCTAGCCACTTCCCTGCTCTCGCCATGGGCCCTGGAGCATCACGGAGCTAGCCTGGGCTGCGGAAGACAGTGGCAGTGGTCCATGCCCTGGCATGTCACAGCCCCCAGAGCCACACCTGCCAGGCCACCAGCCCCAGCCTTGGTCCCCGCTGCTGGCCTCAGTGGCTCCTGGCCATCCTCACCCTGAGTGCAAAGGCAGCCTCAGGATCCCCTCAGGGCACTCTGGATCCAGGCTGCAGACACCTTAAAGCCATCACTGAAAGGGACATGGATGGGGACTGCAGCTGGATCTTCCAGTGCTCACCGCCTCTGACTGTGCTCTAGGTGAACCCAAACCTCAGCTGCTGCAGCTTGAGCACATTTACCCTTCTTGCCCATCTTGGAACGTGGTGTTCCCATATCATACACAAGCCTGTTGCAGGGAGTGACCAGCTCCCAGCTGATCTGCTACCCTTGGCTTTACTTGCTGTTTTCCAGCAGCGAACTTAATGGGTACACTCATGAGAATCTCAGCACATCGTTTGCTCCTCAAGAGCTCTTACGCAAAAAACTCCACTCATCACTAGTTTTTGGACAGAGGAGGAGGTGATGACAAGCGTAAGGCACAGACAGGGCCCTGACATAAGAATTCTTGAGCCATAGAATTCCACACGTTGCTCTTCCCGGCTGCTTGGCTCATATTTTATAGCCAGTTCTGGACAGGGGCTGCTGCTGATAGGGTACGAAAATTTAGAGAAATGAAGGTGCAGGAGACAACCAAAACCACGAGGGAAGACACTTAGAATTATAGAGCACAAGAGAAGACCTTGCAGATGGCTCAATAGAAAATGCCAGCAGCAGCGCCCGGAGCCCGGAGCTGCTCACTGCCACCACAGGGGCTCCCCAGTGCCCTGCTGGTTTGTGTGTGATCCCTGCTGGGCTCCCTCTGCCCCTTCAGCAGACACAGCCCTGCCTGGAAAGGGCTTCGTGCTGTGGTGTTCTCAGCTTGCTGCAGGCTACATTCTTAGCAGCACTGAAAGAAGAGGTGAAACAACGAGCCGTTTTCTGTCCTGCCTGCAGCTCGGAGTGCCCGGAGCCCGGGCCCGTGAAGAGCTGCTCCTGGCGCTCGCTGTGCCCAGCCCGCTGTGCCAAGCAGCCGCGGCCATGGAGACACAGGCGGGAGCTCCGCCCGAGGCCGCCAGCCGGCCAGGCCCGGCTCGCAGCTGCGGGGACGCCGGCAGCCTGTGCCTGAGGCCGAGGCCATGGCGGGGGGTTTGTGGGCAGGGCTTTTGCCGGCCGGAATGTGCCGCCTCCCGTGTGGGCTCGGCTGCGCCAGAGGCAGGCGGGAGCGCGGCGGGAGCGCGGCGGGGCCGGCAGCGGCGGGCAGAGGCCGCAGAGAGCAGCAGCCCGGCCGGGCCCGCTGCGGAGCGGCAGGGAGCTCCCGGGCAGCCCTGGGCCGTGTCTGTGCCCGCCGGACAGCAGCCGCGGCAGGAGCCGGCCATAGCGGCAGCTCACCGTGCCCAGGGCCGCGGCCGCAGCTCTCCCCGCCCGGCCGCAGCAGCAGCCCCGACGCCTCAGGTGCGCCCCCAAAGCGGGGGGACCCCGAGTTCACCGGGACCCAAACCTGGGGGACCCCGAGTTCACCGGGACCCAAACCTGGGGGACCCCGAGTTCACCGAGAGCCCCCCAAACCGGGGGTGCCCGAGCAGGGTCCTTCCCGGAGCCGTTCCAACGTTCAGGTGTCCTCCCTGTCCCCAGGGTTGGGGTGGCCCCTGTCCCCAGTGTGGGGGTGTCCCCAGTATTGGAGTGTTCCCAGGGTCGGGGTGTCCCCCATGTCAGTCTGTCCCCATGTTGGTCTGTCCCCCTGTTAGCCTGTCCCCATGTCAGCGTGTCCCTGTCCCCATGTCTCTCTGTCCCCTGTCAGTCTGTCCTGTCCCCCTGTCGGTGTGTCCCACCTCCGTCTGTCCTGTCCCCCTGTCACTGTCCCCTGTCACTCTGTCCCCTGTCACTCTGTCTCCTGTCCATCTGTCCCCTCTCAGTCTGTCCCCCTGTCGGTCTGTCCTGTCCCCCTGTCACTGTCCCCTGTCACTCTGTCCCCTGTCAGTCTGTCCTGTCCCCTGTCGCTCTGTCCCACCTCCGTCTGTCCTGTCCCCCTGTCAGTCTGTCCCCTGTCAGTCTGTCCCCTGTCACTCTGTCCCCCTGTCACTCTGTCCCGTGTCGCTCTGTCCCCTGTCGGTCTGTCCTGCCCCGTCACTCTGTCCCCTGTCAGTCTGTCCCCTGTGGGTCTGTCCCCTGTCAGTCTGTCCCCTGTCACTCTGTCCCCTGTCACTCTGTTCCCTGTCGCGCTGTCCCCTGTGGGTCTGTCCCCTGTCAGTCTGTCCCCTGTCACTCTGTCCCCTGTCGCTCTGTCCCCTGTGGGTCTGTCGTGCCCCGTCGCTCTGTCCCACGTCCGTGTGTCGTGCCGCAGTGCTGATCTGGGACGATGCCCGCGAGGGGAAGGACAAGCTGGTGCTGGAGTTCAGCTTCCCCAAACCCGTGCTGGCCGTGCGCATGCGGCACGACAGGTCCGGGACTGGGAACCCGGGGGGCTGGGGGGACTGGGGACACTGGGGGGACTGGGGACACCGGGGGGACTGGGGGGACTGGGGACACCAGGGGGACTGGGGACACTGGGGGTCTGGGGACACTGGGATTTACTGGGGGAATTGGGGGCACTGGGGTGGCACTGGGTGGCTGTGGGTGGCACTGGGTGGCACTGGGGTGGCTCTGGATGGCACTGGTGTCCCTGTGTCCCTGTCCCAGGCTGCTGGTGGCTCTGCAGAGCCGCCTGTACGTGTTCTGTACTGGGAGCAGTGGGGGCACTGGGGGCACTGGTGGCAGTGGGTGGCACTGGGTGGCACTGGGGTGGCTCTGGGTGGCACTGGTGGCACTGGGTGGCACTGGTGGCACTGGGGTGGCACTGGTGTCCCTGTGTCCCTGTCCCAGGCTGCTGGTGGCTCTGCAGAGCCGCCTGTACGTGTTCTCCTTCCCCCACCGGCCCACCAAGCTCTTCGAGTTCGACACCCGCGACAACCCCAAAGGTGGAGGGCCCCAAAAACCCGGAGGGTGCCCCAAAAACCACGGGGGGGGCCCCAAAAACCGCGGGGGGGACCCCAAAAACTGCGGGGGCACCCTAAAACAGGGGGGAACCCAAAAACCACAGGGGGCACCCCAAAAACTGCGGCAGGACCCCAATAACTGTGGGGTGACCCCAAAAACCACAGAAGGACCCCAAAACCGTGGGGGAACTCAAGAAAGAGCGGGGACCCTAAAAATGGGGGTGACCCCAAAAACTGTGGGGGCACCCAAGAAATCATGGGGACCCAAAAACCACGGGGGGCACCCCAATAACTGCAGAGGGGACCCCAAAAACCACGGGGGAACCCAAAACTGGGGGAAGCCTGAGCTGGGGGTGCCTGAAAACTGGGGGATCCCAAAGTGGGGGGGACCCTCCAAAATCTGCAGGGACGGGTTTGGGGGTGGCAGGGACAGACCCCCCCTGTTCTTTCTACCTGGGGATGGTTGGGAGGACCCCAAAGTCACACCAGGGGTCACCCTAAAATTCGGGCATGGCCCCAAAACCCCAGAGGGACCCCAAAACCTCGAGGAGTTTGGGTTTAGGGGGGACTCAGGTGTTCAGGACAATCTTCCCCCCATTCTCTTTGTTGGGGGCACCCCAAAGCACAGGAGGGACCCCAAAATCCCAAGAGCGGTCCCAGGGAGAACCCCAAACTTTTCCTGAGGGACTTCTCCAAGTTTAGGGAGGGACCCCAGTGAGTGAGGGGGAGCCTGGAACTCTGGAGGACCCCAATATCTGGGGGGGATTTTGGGGAATTAGGGGGACCCTGATGTGCTGGGGGGGGTTTTGGGGTCCCCGATGTCCTGAGAGGGACCCCGATGTTTGGAGGGTTTTTGGGGTGCAGGGACACCCCAATGTCTGGGTGGTTTTGGGGTTCCCGATGTTCTGGGGGGTTTTTGGGTTTTTGGGGTCCCCAGTGTCCCGAGGGGGATTTTTGGGGTGCAGGGACAGCCCACTGTCCTGGGGGGGATTTTGGGGTCCCCAATGTCCTGGGGGGTTTTTGGGGTGCAGGGACCCCCCAATGTCCAGGGGGATTTTGGGGTCCCCAATTTCCCGAGGGGTTTTTGGGGTGCAGAGACATCCCAATGTCGAGGGGGATTTTTGGGGTCCCCAATGTCCTTGCGGGTTTTGGGGTCAGGGACACCCTGATGTTCTGGGGGATTTTTGGGGTCCCCAGTGTCCGGGGGGTTTTTGGGGTGCAGGGACACCCCAACATGGGGCTCCCCGCAGGGATCGTGGATCTGTGTCCCAGTTTGGAGCGGGCCCTACTGGTGTTCCCGGGGCACAAGTGTGGCAGCCTGCAGCTGGTGGTGAGCAGCACTGGGGGCACTGGGGGGCACTGGCTGGGGGGCACTGGGGGTACTGGGGGCACTAGGCAGCACTGGGGGCACTGTGTGTGGTACTGGGGAGCACTGGGTGATAATGGGGAGGAGGCTGAGCTGATATTGGGAGCACTGGGGAGTACTGGGCCATACTGGGCAGCACTGGGCGGTGCTGGGCAGTACTGGGTGGCACTGGGCCATACTGGGCCATACTGGGCGGCACTGGGCCATACTGGGCGGCACTGGGCAGCACTGGGTGGCACTGGGTGGCACTGGGCCATACTGGGCGGCGCTGTGCGGCACTGGGGCCATACTGGGCCATACTGGGCGGCGCTGTGCGGCACTGGGGCCATACTGGGCCATACTGGGCGGCGCTGGGCCATACTGGGCGGCACTGGGCAGCACTGGGTGGCACTGGGTGGCACTGGGCCATACTGGGCGGCGCTGTGCGGCACTGGGGCCATACTGGGCCATACTGGGCGGCGCTGTGCGGCACTGGGGCCATACTGGGCCATACTGGGCGGCGCTGGGCGGCGCTGGGGCTCCCTCAGCCTGTCCCCGTCCCCAGGACCTGGGCTCGGCCAAGCCGGGCACGTCCTCGGCGCCGGTGACGATCAACGCGCACCAGAGCGAGGTGGGCTGCGCCGCGCTGAGCCCCCCGGGCAGCCTGGTGGCCTCGGCCTCGCGCCGGGGGACCCTGATCCGCCTCTTCTGCACCCAGAGCCGCGCGCGCCTGCTGGAGCTGCGCCGGGGCACCGACCCCGCCACGCTCTACTGGTGCCTGGGGGGCTGGGGGGGCTGGGACCGACCCCGCCACGCTCTACTGGGAGGACTGGGGGCACTGGGGGGGCTGGGGGGGCTGGGACCGACCCTGCCAGGCTCTACTGGGGGGACTGGGGGCACTGGGGGGGCTGGGAATGACCCCACCACGCTCTACTGGTGGGCTGGGGGGCTGGGTGGACTGGGACCGACCCTGCCACCCTCTACTGGGGCCACTGGGGGGCTGGGGGCACTGGGGGGACTGGGGGCGCTGGGACCGACCCTGCCAGGCCCTACTGGTGGGACTGGGGGGGACTGGGAACCTCAGGTGTCCCCCTGCTCGAGCTGACGCAGGGCACAGACCCTGCCCCGCTGTACTGGGGGCACTGGGAGCACTGGGAGGGACTGGAGATGAACCTGAGCGTTTGGGGGACCCCTCCCAAGCCGGTTTTGGGGTGCTGCCCCTCCCTGCCCGGTTTTGGGGTTCCCTCTCTGCCCGGCTGAGCTGCTCCAGCTCCGCTGTGCTGGTGCCACTGGGAGGGGCTGGAGGTGGAGTTGGGCACTGGGGGACCCCGCCTGGGTTTTGGGTGTCCCCCCGATCCTGATGGGGTTTTTGGGGTGCCCCCGACCCTGACGGGGCTCTGGGGTCCCCCAGCCTGGCCTTCAGCCCCGACTGCTCCTTCCTGTGCGCGGCCAGCGACAAAGGCACGGGGCACGTCTTCGCGCTGCGGGACACGCGCCTCAACCGGCGCTCGGCGTGAGTGGGGCACGCGCGGGGTGGGGGGTCCCCCCGAGCCCCCCGAGCGCCCTGACCTCCCCGTGCCCCCCCGTGCCAGGCTGGCGCGCGTGGGCAAGGTGGGCCCGGTGCTCGGCCCCTACGTGGAGTCCCAGTGGTCCCTGGCGAGCTTCACCATCCCGGCCGAGGCGCCCGGCGTGTGCGCCTTCGGCAGGGCCGGCCGCAGCCCCAGCTCCGTCATCGGTGAGAGGCACCCCGAAACACCCTGAGGGACCCCGAAACACCCTGAGGGACCCCAAAATAACCCTGAGGGACCCCAAAATACCCTGAGGGACCCCAAATAACCCCCAGGGACCCCAAATAACCCCAAACCAACCTAAAATACCCGGAGGATCCCCAAAGAAACACCCTGGCACCCCCAAAGAACCCCCAGGGACCCCAATCCCCTCTGGGGTTTTGCCTTGGGAGAAGGGGTGCAGCCCCAGCTCAGTCATCAGTGAGAGGGACCCCAAAATAACCCAAAATCAACTTAAAATACACTGAGGGACCCCAAAAGAACCCCTAGGGACCTCAAAACAGCCATGAGGGACACCAGTCCCCTCTGGGGTTGTGCCTTTGGGGGAGGGGCGGCAGCCCCAGCTCTGTCCTTGGTGAATCCTCCCAACCCCCCCAGAATATCCCCTGGGACCCCAACACGCCTGGGAGCCCCCAGTGTCCTCCCCAGGACCCCAAAATTCACACCCGGGGACCCCATAACCCACCAGAGACGCCCCCAAAGTTCCCCCAGCACCCAGATCCCCCCAAGGCACCCCAAATCCCCCCCAGGCACCCCCAAATCCCCTCAGGCACCCCAAACCCCCCCAGGGCACCCCCAACCTCCCTGCCCTGGGATCCCAGATTACCCCAAAGTCCCCTGGGACCCCCCAGGTATCAGCAAAACCCTCTGGGACCCCCCAAAGCCCCTCCCTGCACCCCAAACCCCCTGGGGACCCCCTAAACTCCCCTTGACCCCCCAGATCTCCTCCAAAGGCCCCCCAGGGCACCTCCCTGCACCCCTAAAACTCCCCATGGCCCCTCCCTTTGCCCCTAAACCCCCCTGTGGTCCCTCCCTGCACCCCCAAATCTCCCCTAAATCCCAGGGCCCCCCTTAACCCCCCCAGGGCCCCTCCCTGCACCCCTAAATCTCCCTCTAACCCCCCCAGGGTCCCACTAAACCCCCCCAGGGCCCCTCCCTGCACCTCTAAACCCCCCTGGCGACCCCCTAAACCCACCCGGGGCCCCTCCCTTTGCCCCTTAACCCCCCCCAGGGACTCCCTATATCACCCCTAAAAGCCCCCTAGGGCCCCTCCCTGCACTTCTAACCCCCCCTGGGACCCCCTAACCCCCCCCGGGACCCCCTGACCCTCTGCCTGTGCCCCAGCCGTGTGTGTGGACGGCACCTTCCACAAGTACGTGTTCAGCCCCGACGGGAACTGCAACCGCGAGGCCTTCGACGTCTTCCTGGACATCTGCGACGATGACGACTTCTGACCCCCTCCCGGGCCCCCCCCGGGCCCCCCCGAGCCGGGGGACCCCCAAAACCCGGCGGCCCACCGAGCCTGGCCCGTCTCTTTATTGTTGTCTCGGCGTAACAAAGGGGATTTACAAAACCTCCAAAAGGGGGGGGGGATACAAAACCGGGGTCCCCCCGCGTGCCCCGGGACCCCCCCGCGGTTTGGGGGGGGGGCATACCCCCCGTGCCCCCCGGGTGGGTGACACAGCCCCCAGAGCCCCGTGCCCCCCGGGTGGGTGACGCAGCCCCCAGAGCCCCGTGCCCCCCGGGTGGGTGACGCAGCCCCCAGAGCCCCGTGCCCACCGGGTGGGTGACGTAGCCCCCGCAGCGGTAGCACCAGGCCGCCAGGTCACGCAGGCTCAGCACCAGGGGGTGTCCCCGGGCCCCCCCGTGGGCCAGCATGTGCCCCCCGACATAGCGCCCGCACAGCACCTGCAGCGCACCGCGGGTCAGGGGGCTTGGGGTGCGGGGGG